GTCTAAATTAGTAAAGTTAGGTAGCATGAGATTAAGGGTGATCTTGCCAATTGGATACATAATTGGCTTGATGACAGGAGACGGAGAGTAATGGTGGAGGGTTGCTTTTTGGACTGGAGGCATGTGACCAGCAGTGTTCTTCAGGGATCAGTTTTGGGTCCTCTTTTGTTTGTCATTTATGTAAATGATTTGGATGAAAATATAGAAGGCTTGGTTAGGAAGTTTGCAGATGACACCAAAATTTGTGGCATTGTAGACAGTGAAGAAAGTTTTCTAAGATTACAAAGAGATCTTGATCAAGTGGGTCAATGGGCTGAAAAATGGCACATGGAGTTCAATCTGGATAAATGCAAGGTGTTGTATTTTGGTACAACAAACAAGGGTAGGGCTTGTACAATTAATGGTAGGGCCTTGGGTAGCATTGTAGAACAGAGGGGGCTTGGGGTGCAGGTACACAATTCTTTAAAGTTTGTGTCAGACAGGATGGTTAAAAAGACATTTGGCATGCTTTCCTTCATTGCTCAATCCTTCATGTATAGGAGTTGAGTCGTTATGTTGAGGTTGTACAGATCATTGGTGAGGCCTCTTCTGAAATACTGTGTCCAGTTCTGGTCACCAAGTTATTGGAAGGATATTATCAAACTGGAAAGGGTTCGGAAGAGATTTTACCAGGATGTTGTCGGGTATGGAAGTTTTGTGTTATTAAGAAAGGCTGGATAGGCTGGGACCTTTTTCACTAGAGCAGAGGAGGTTGAGAAGTGACCTGACAGAAGTTTATAAAGTGAGAGGTATAGATAGACTTGATGGTAGTTGTATTTTTCCCTGAGATGGGGAATTACAAGACTAGGGGACACATTTTTAAGGTGAAAGGAGAGAGATTTTAAAAAGACATAAGGGGCAAATTTTTTACACAAAGGACGGTTCACGTTTGGAATGAACTTCCCGAGGAAGTGGTGGATGTGGGTACAATTACAATGTTTGAAAGACATTTCGATGGATACATGAATAGAAAAGGTTTGGAGGGATATTGGATAAGAAGGTGTATAGCTGGATAAACACAGCAGGCCAGGCAGCATCAGAGGAGCGGCAAAGCTGACATTTCGGGTCTGGACGCTTCTTCAGAGAAAAGGGTCCAGACCCGAAACGTCAGCTTTCCTGCTCCTCTGATGCTGCCTGGGCTGCTGTGTTTATCCAGCTCTACACCTCGTTATCTCAGACTCCAGCATCAGCAGTTCCTACTATCTCTGGAGGTGTATGGGCCAGGATCAGGCAGATGGGACTAGTTTAGCTCGGGATAATGTTTGGCATGGACTAGTTAGACTGAAGGGTCTGTCTCTATGCTGTATGACTCTATGACTCTCCCTCAATGACCCCTGCTGGTTTCCCTCACTGACCCCCACAGTTGCTTGCTTCCTAAATGATCACCATTATTCCTCTCTTCCTTGCTGACTGCTACAGTTTCTCTCACTCCCTCAGAAGGCTCTATTTTCCCCAAAATCTCCCTCACTCTTCAGGACTCTTGCAGTTTGCTTCTCCTTCAGAGTTTCTCCCCCCCACTTCACTGAGTCTTGCAGCCTCTCCCTTCCTCACTGACCCTCTCATTCCATCTCTTTCCTCCCTTGCTGAATTTATGTTCTTAGTGATAAATTCTTGCATTACAGCCAGTGAGGTGTTTTATAAATGCAGTGTGAATCTCTATTGCATGGTTCATGTACTCTAGTATATAATTTTTAGATTTTAGTAATTAAAGTCTGATAGTAGAAGATGTGATATATGTGTCTCAAGCATCTTGGAGCCACGTTGCTTTAAGACATAAAAGCTAGAAAGACCAGATTAGAAACAACAGCTGGGCCGGCTGAGCTGAACATGTGCGATTAAAAGCTTTCACTGAAATCTAAAAGGCTGTAAACCCATTTACTTCATCAGATCAATGACAAAATTGCAACTTAGCCTCAAGATCGGATAAGGATAGCACAGGGCAATCCATGTTACCATGGAGTTGGATATATCAGTGTTCATTGAGAAAGAAGTTAGATGCAGTTCAGAGCTCAGTGTTGTAGTTTGAAGATCAGAGAGTGCTGAAGCAGAAAAGTGGTTCCAGGAAACACAAGTGCTGCTGTTAACAGACTCCAGGCAATTAGGGCACGAAAAGCCCATGGAAGCTATTGATAGTGGATTGCAGGCAGTCCACAAGTAATATTTTCTTGATGCAGCTGGGAAAGCTTGGAGTTTAGAAACATTCAGCTCACTGTTTGATAAAAGTTGAAATTTCGCCAATAATGAGCAACCTCAGGAATACTGGGAATTTCATTCTCTGGAGAAGAGATAGAAGCAGTAAGATGCAAGCAATATGAGTTAGGGAGGCTTTGACTGGGCTCCATGCAAAGTCTTCAGAAGTGGAGCATTGGAATCCCTTGAAAGGAAATTGATTTTTAATGAGATAACAAGGTGTAGAGCTGGATGAACACAGCAGGCCAAGCAGCATCAGAGGAGCAGGAAAGCTGACATTTCGGGTCGAGCCCCTTCTTCAGAAATGGGGAAAGGGAAGGGGATTCTGAAATAAATAGGGAGAGAGGGGGAGGCGGATAGAAGATGGATAAAGGAGAAGATAGGTGGAGAGGAGACAGACAGGTCAAAGAGGCGGGGTTGGAGCCAGTAAAGGTGAATGTAGGTGGGGAGTTAGGGAGGGGATAGGTCGGTCCAGGGAGGACGGACAGATCAAGGAGGCGGGATGAGGCTAGTGGGTAGGAGATGGGGCTGGGGCTTGAGGTGGGAGGAATGGTTAGGGAGGCGGGGATGAGCTGGGCTGGTTTTGGCATGCGGTCGGGGGAGGGGAGATTTTGAAGCTTGTGAAGTCCACATTGATACCCTTGGGCTGCAGGAACAGCATCTTATATTTCAATGATGCCACCCGAAGGCTGCAGGAACAGCATCTCATACTTCACGCATCATCCTCTGACACTTCCGCCATCTGCAATCTGAACCCACCACCAAAGACATTTTTCCCTCCCCACCCTTATCTGCTTTCCAGAGGGACCACTCTATCCGTGACTCCCTTGTCTGCTCCATACTCCCCACCAGCCCCACCACCCCCGGCACTTTTCCCTGCAATTGTAGCAAGTGCTACACCTGCCCCTACACCTCCCCCCTCACCCCCATCCCAGGCCCTAAGAAGACCTTCCACATCAAACAGATACTCACCTGCACATCTGCTAATGTGGTATACTGTATTCGCTGTTCCCGTTGTGGCCTCCTCTACATCGGGGAAACCAAGCGGAGGCTTGGGGACTGCTTTGTGGAACACCTATGCTCGGTTCGCAACAAACAACTGCACCTCCCAGTCGCGATCCATTTCAACTCTCCCTCCCACTCCTTGGACGACATGTACATCCTAGGCCTCCCGCATTGCCAAAAGTGCTGTATGTGGAGTGTTTGACTACCATTTACCTGTTAAATCATATTTACCTCATGTTAATTCTAAATGTTAGAGTATAGATTGAATATATATGTCATAGATTGTTCTTACTTTTCTAATCTTGTATAGTAAAGTTTCATTTGTTTGTTCAAGACAGTAGAATATGGTGATTTTATTTTCTCAGTAAGTATCTGGGCTGTCAACTTTGTCTACTTTAAACAAAAAAAGTTTCTAATTTGACAGTCACTTCTGGAATCAAAACAAATGCAGTTACTTTAGTAATGTAGGGAATTTAAACTGGACAGAAACAGCAACAAGAAAATGAGCAGACATGTTTTAGTGCTGTTAGCTGAGAGATAAATATTGGGTCAGATTTTCTGAGGTCGGCAATCATAGTCAGATTGCCTCTCAGTCCTACTTCTTTCTCTTAAGAAATAGCTCCACACTTTTGGCAGAAGATTCCAGTCATGAGGAGGGTACTTTAAATCCAACTGTGTCCTCATAGTGCTGGATATTCAATGGAAGGCAAGTCATGCTCACAGTTTCATGGCACTATTAGCTGCATTTCATGATTTAAATGTCCAGCAGCACAGACACCCACTTTGACAGCTCCTGTGAAATGTATAAGGTAAGTGTGAAGTTAGGAAGCCAGGTGGGAATGGTATCAGGTAAGTCAGTTGCCATTTGGGTTAACTGTTGGGTTAATAAGGCGCCAAGCTGGTAGGGTTCCAGGTTACCAATTGAGTGTTTAGGATCGGTCAGCATGGTCAGAGGGTATTGGGTTCCTGAGGGGGCTGGAGAGGAGAAGGGTCTCTCAGGTCAGTTGGTAGGAAAGGGGTGAGTCGGGTCCTGGGAGGGAGGGTGTCAGATCCTGAAGGTGACAAGAATTGGGGGAGAGGGAGTTATGTTCTGAGGTTGTGGTGGGGGGGTGGGGGTCAAAGGAGGTGTTGGGATGCAAGGGGAAAGGCAGTTATGCTTTTGGCAGGTGAGATGTTGATCCTGGGAGGGGGAAGGTGCAGGGTGGAGAACTGGTGTCAGGTCCTGAGCAGATAGGTGCAGGGCCCTGGAGAGGGGAGTTGCTGGGCTGTGGGGGCCGGATAATCGGATCCTAGGGGGAGGAAGCGTTATTTTGTTGGGGACGGACGTATTATCAGGTCTGGGAGGGTTCGGGGTTTGGAGGAGTGCAAGGAGTCGGGCGAAGGTGTGTTTGGGGGTTAGCTGGGTAAGTTGGGCTCAGGTTAACAGTTACTTAGAAGTTACATGAGGTTTTTGGTTACCTAACTTTTCCTGGCCAACTATTAACTGCAGACACCCTCCACATTGTCCAACTAAAAATTGATATTTTTGGAGAGTTCTGGGCGTGGAGGAATTACCTATCCGAATTTTTAATTTCTTTATCTCGGGAATTCGGCAGGTTACAACTCGCAACTCCCCTCCATAGTAGAGAAACCACTGTCTGGCCATGGGAAATAGCGGTTTTCGGTTGAAGCGAAACGCAACGATCATCAGCGGCAGGCTATTCATTTCCTTTCCCAACCGAGAGTCTGAAAAAAAGAGCAATAGCACCCCTCCCTCATGCGAGCGGACCTCTGCTAACTGGATGGTAAGCAGGGTCGATTTCTGAGGTCTTCCTTGCACAATTAACACTGCAACATCTTCATTGAACTCCTCCAAACTAGAGGGTGCTCACGGCACTTCGAAAGTATCGTTTGTCGGAAGCAGGAAGTGTAAGATGTGTTTTATTACCAATGTTATTGAGCTCAGATAATGTGAACTTTGGACTTAGAAGAGTTAAAGAGTACGTAACTGACAGCTTTCCAGGAGATCAGGTGATAATTTTTCACTATAATTAGTTTTAAAATATTGGTTTTGTAGAAAATATATGAACAGTCATTTGTAGTATTAGTATATTTTATTAATAGTTTATGAACAATTTAAGAAATAACTAATTCTGCCACTTGCTGGCTGGTTGCAAACTGCCACTTTGTACTGTGCTGGGAAGCTAGTGTCCTGTCTCTGCCTAAGATTTGAACGTTTGCGAATGAACTCATCATTTCTGGTACAACGAGGTATATTCGGGTGTCGATTTAACTTTGCTATCATCCACTGATTTGGCGATCGATGCTGTTTATTGTCTTCAGGAAAATGCAGTCTCGAAAATTGTCGCACGCTCCTTGAGCCATCATCCCCCTCCTCCTCGCGTAGAAATTGGTATAACATTTGTTTTAAACAGTAGTATCGCTTCACATCATTTGCTTGGCTTCGTACAGTTCAGTTGACTAATTCGTTTTCCACGGAAGGCGAAGTGAGTCAACCATTGCCACAGAGTTGAGGCACAGGAAAGGATTGAAATTAGAAGATATCAAATCTCCACCACGTTAAGTCTAGTGATACTTTTTTTCGAAGAACTGGGGACAATCTGATGCTGCTCATCTGTCCTGGATATTTTTGTTTAATTTTAATTGGCTTGGCTTCAGAGAATAGCCCATGCTGAGTTGTGCTAAATGGCTGGAGAGAGATTGGGACTCTTCCTCTTTCGCATGACTCAACTACTCCAAGAAAAAGATTAAGAATTATGAAATCCACAGCCTTTCTCCCCCCAGTCTGTAAAAAAAAGTTAATAATGGAAAATAAGGAGATGGTAGATTATTTGAACAGGTATTTTGCATCGGTCTTTATTATAGAGGAGACAAATAAAGTACCACAAATAGCTGTAAATCAAAAACTGGACGGGAGGGCGGAGCTCAGGAAAATCACTGTCACCAAAGCGGTGCTGAGTAAATTGTTGGAACTGCAGCTGCCGCTGCCACGTCCTGGGTTCTGATGGAGTTTATCCTAGGATCTTAAAAGCAGTGGCTATTCAAATACTGTTGTACGGTTTTAATTTTCCAAAATTCCCTAGATGCTGGAAAAGTTCAGTTTGATTGGATAATAGCAAATGTTACTCCTTTATTTGAAAAGGGGAGACAGAAAGCAGGAAACCATTGGCCATTTAGTTTAACATACGTCATTGGAAAAGATGTTCGAAGCTATTATTAAGGGTATTATGGCAAAGCATTTAGAAAAGTTCAAGATAATCAAACAGAGTCAACATGGTTTTGTGAACCTGCGATAAGGTTAGGTTTAGAGTTAGTGTGAACCTGTATTTAATCAATTTATTGGAATTCTTTGAAGAAATAAAATGTGTTGTCGATAAAGATGAACTGGTTATTGTACTTTACATAGATTTCCAGAGGCATTTGATTAGGTTCCACATCAAAGGTTATTGTAGAAGATGAAAGCTCATTGTGTAGGCAGTAATATATTGGCATGGATAGAAGAATCACTAGATAACCGGAAGCAGAGTGGTTATAAATTAGTAATTTTCTGGTTGGCATGATGTGCTCAGTGGTGTGCCACAGGGAACATGTAAATGACTTGGATGAAGGCACAAAAGGAATTATGCTAAGTTTCCTGATGACACAACCATAGATGGATAAGTAAGTTGTGAAAACAAGTTAAGGAGGCTACAAAGAAATTTACAATATTTAGGCAGGGCAAATGAACTATAATGTGAGAAAATGTAAAATTGTAAATCTTGAGAGATTACAAATTTCTGACATGCAGAGGAATCTGGGTGTGCTACTGCATCAGTTGCAAAAGACTAGCATGCTGCAAGTAATTAAGAAAGCTAATAGAATATTATTGTTCATTGTAAGAAGAATTGAATGCAAAAGTAGGGATGGTATGCTTCAGTTCTACAGGGCATTAGTGAGACATGAACATGCAAATTAGGAGCAGACTAAGCTTGCTTACTTTGGAGATTAAATTCCGCCCCAAAGATATGTTCCATTATTCAATAGCATCATGGCTGATCTGTTTTTTTTTTAATTCCACGTTCCTAATTACTTATCTTGGAGGCCCTTGTCAAATGAGAATCTACCTACTTCTGCCTTAAAAATATTCAATGACTCACGACAGAGAGTTCTGAAGTCACACAACTTTCTTAGAGAAAAAATTCTCTTTCTCTGTTCAAAAAGGATGATGCCGAATTTTTAAACAGTGCTTATAGTCTGGATTGACTACATGAGGAAAGACCCTTTCCATGGCCTTCCTTCTCAAAACAATCTAGGATCTTATGTCATTCAATTAACTCAACCCTCACTCTTCTGAACTCCAGCTGAAACAAGCCTAGTCTGTCCAACCTTTCTTTATTAGGCAACCCACTCATTCCAAATATCAATCTAGTAAACGCCCACTGATCCTCCTGCAATGCATTTGCATCCTTCCTTAAATAAGGAGACCATAACTGCACACAGTATACAAGATGTGGTCTCACCAATGCCCTACATAACTGAAGCATTACATTCTTTATTTTATATTTAATTCCTCTCATAAAGGATCGTATTCCATAGCTTTCTTAATTACCTGCTGTACCAGCATACTAACCTGGAGGACAGATCTAGAGTGCTGTGTGCAGTATTGCCTCCTTATTTAAGGAAGCAGTTTAAAAATGTTACTAGATTAATACCTGTAATGGGTGGTTGTGCAATGAGAAAAGAATATGAGGTGCCCACTTCAGCAGAAAGAATGAGAGAGTAGAATATTATTTCATTGGAGAGGTGCAGAATGGAGCAGCACAGAGGGATCTTGGTGTCCCTGTTAACAAAAGACAAAAAGTCAGCAAGTGATTAGGAAGGCAAACAGAGTGTTGGCCTTTTATCGCAAGGTGGTGAAGTATAAAAATTGGGAAGAACTCCTACAACTGCACAGGACATTGGTGGGGTCACATCTGGTTTACGATGTACAGTTTAATAAAACCAAAATACTGCAGTTGTTAGAAATCTGAAACAAACAGAGTGTCTGGTAGCTTCTGTAGCGAGACAAACAGGGGTAATGTTTTGAATCTGGTATGACTTTTCTTCAGGGTTCAGGCTTAAACGTACTTCTATTTCTTAAATCGTTATGTTTTTATATTAATCGAAACTGGACTAGGTTTATATAGGTCTGTATATAGTTCCAAGGCATATGAGCATTCTGGAATAGAACTGGAAGGAAACAAACGTGCATTTATAGAAACGTATTTCTTAAATTACAATAATAACCTGTTATGAGTTTATTAAACATCTAAATAGTTGAGGCTGCTGTTCCATAAAAGCAAAATACTGCAGATGCTTGTAATCTTAAATAAAAACAGAAGATTCTCGAAATACTCAGCAGGTCTCGCAATGCCTGTGGAGAGAGAATTGGAGTTCCATATATGAGAATATTTTTACCAGAACAGAAACTGATGTTGATTTGAGCAGTAGCTACTTGGATCGGATATGATCTGTGAACTAATTATCTATGTATGCCATTAACAATATTAGTGGAGTTACATTTATCTTTGTCTTATCTTTGTGTTGTCTATTTCATCACAGCCTACATCAGTGAAATAGTTTTCAGATTGCTGCTCTAAGTAAACACCTCTTTTCTTAAAAACTATTAACACTGTTTCCATATTATAAATAATATGCATCATTATAATTGAGGAGCCGATCCATAATTAGTACCCTGTTTGAAAAGGTGTCTTACATCCAGTAGAGTCTGAGAAGTCTACTGACTGAAAGCTGGGAACGCTGGCAACATTCTGGTGAAATTATGCTGCATTTCTTCCTGTCGGTATATCCTTTCTAAAGTGCATCACCCAAAACTGTATAAAGCACAATCATCAAATATGATATAATCCGTGCTTTATATGATTGTAGCAAAACTTCCTGTTATATTCTACACCTCCAGTTATGACAGGTAACATTTCATTGGTATTGGTGATTTTTCTTTTGTACTTGACTTTCTGCATTTCAGTGCTGTATGTCCATAGACCCTAAATTTCTTGGAGTTTCCACTGATGCTAGTTTTTCACCATTTAAAAAAATCAGATCCATCCTGTTTTGGTCTAAAAATGGTTGACTTTTACTTAATTGCATTGAAATCCATCTCACATAGTTTTGCCCCCCAATCTATTAGAGTGTTCTTGTACTTTTAAGCTCCCGACTAATCTGCATACATATTATGTCAACAATCTTTCTGTTATCAGCATACTTGGATAAATGATCTTCTATTGTAGTAAGTAAGTCATCAGTAAATGTAATGAAAAGTTAAAGCCCCAATACACACTGTTGTGAGACACCTCTCAACCAGGTCCACAGTTTGCTTACAATTTCCTAAATTTATTAACCTTAACACATCTTGTGAAAGTCCACATATGCGACATTCAATAGGACATTCCCTGTGTACTGGTTTAAATATTGCTCAAAAAATGAAATTAAGATCATTAGTCATAAAACCTACATTTATAAATATCTTTTCATGACCTTCAAACACACATTTAGGATGATTGTCAAAAGAAGCAACGGAGACATGAAGAGAAAACTTTCACCCAATGAACATTTAAGATCTGGAATGTACTTCCTGTGAGTGTGGTAGAGGCAACTTCAACTGAAGAAGAGAATCAGATTACTGTCTGAAAAGGAAGGATGTGCTGAGGAACTGCACATTGTTTTATTGTTCATCTTGATAGCAGGCAAGGAAAAGATGGAGCAATTAGCCTCTTTCTTTATGCTGTAACAATTCTGTGATCCTATGAAATCCTGGAGGAGAACCTGACTGCAAAAGCTTTGAGCTCAGGGGTGATAATGCCTGACACATTAAATGTTTACACTTGTCCCAATCACAAGTAGCATTTGTCACCTTTATTACACAAAGATCAAAAGCTGGAAACAGGTCATTCAGTGCAAAAATACCACATTAATAGTTATGCTCCATACAATTTGTAGTTCTAAATTATTGTTTAATTGTTTACAGGATGTGGGAACCACAGGCTTGGCAGCATTTATTGCCCATGCCTAATTTCCATTGGTGAGCTGCCTTCTTACATTGTAGTAGTTCATAGGGGATAAATATGTTCAGTGCTGTTAGGAATGGGGATTCCAGGAATTTGATGCACTGACACTGAAGGAATGGTGGTATATTTCCAAGCCAGGATGGTGAGTGGCTTGGAGAAAAAGGCTTAAAGGTGGCGGTGTTCCCATGTATCTGCTGCCCTTGTTCTTTGAGATGTTAGAGGTCATGAGTTTGAAAGATGCTGTTGAAGGAGTTGTGATCAATTGTTGAGGTGCATCTCTTAGGTGCTACACACAGCTGCTACGGTGTGTCAGAAGCAGCAGGCAGAATGTTGGTCAAGCTTCTGCATAGTCTGCTGTAAAATTTTGCCATCATGAAGGAACAGTCTTTGCCACTAACTATAAAGTGATCATCTCAGAAGATGAAGGAGGCAACCAACACAGCTCCTTTGTGACAAGGTTGTTGAAAATTGATGTATCCAAGTCTACCAGTGATTACAGCCACAATTCCCCCATTCACCAACAGTCTCATACCTCATCGTCCATTTGTTACTAATCATCGCAGCATTCTCCTGACCACAATACTAAAATAAAGGCAACAATGACACTCTGAATGAAATTAATAAATTGAACTGTCCATGACTGCATACAAAAGTCACATAATTACCCTTGTGCATTACCTTGATGTTTGTTTTCTGTGTTGCCTTTGCCTGCTGTGGTGCTGTCCTGCAACATTATGCCGGGGTTGCAGCACAACTGGTGGAAGGCTGCTAATTTTCAATGAGGGAGACCTCAGAGGGCCTCACAGGCTTGGGTGCCAGTCTACCAGACTGCTTTGCCTTGGAAGGTGTTGAGTTTCTTGAATGTTGGAGCTGCACTCATCCTGTATTCATTCAAATGGATCCTAGGGCTAGCTTGATATCTTTATAGTCACATGAGGACTCCTTATGGACTTTATTTTAAAGAAAAGGATGATATCCGGATAATTTCCACCAGATTTTTGTGAATACATTTGAAATAGTGTGTTCTGCATCTCCTCTGCTGGGGGAGTCTCAGATAAATTCAGAGCTAGGCCATTTAGGAGAGAAATTATGAAATACCATTCAAGTCACATAGTGGTAGGAATGTGAAACCCCCATAAAAAGCTGTATATGCAAGTGCAATTAATGATTTCAGTTTCAAATCTTAAGTCAATAGACTTCTGCTCGACAAGTCAGAGTGCAGAAGCTGCACAATTAGCAAGTTAGAGCTGGCCTTGTATGCATCACAGACAATGCTTGTGAAATGTCTGTAACCCATGAGTTAGTTTTATAGTTCATGGTGATAAAACAAAGTCTCCTTGCACACCCATGAAAATAAACAATTGTAGATCTGATTACTGACTCTTCTTAGCAATTTGTTGCGTTATCGGAGAACAGATAGCATAGTATTGTATATATTGCATAGTGTTCTTTTATTGTGCACTCACTTTTCAGTCCATTATTTTGATTAAATATTATCTTCTCCAGGTAGGAATTCTTGTGTTTAAATTTAGCCATGCCTGAAATTCTGAACAAATCTCCTGGGAAAAAAAAAAATGCACATTGAGAATTACATTTGGCTTGAAACAGTGAAAGCTGTGATATTTTATTTTTTGGATATTTTTGCTATATTGTGTAAATATCTAATGTCCACTTTTACAAACTAGCTATGTCTACAGAAGCAGATGCAGTTGGTAAGACATTAGAAATTTTGCAAAGAAAGAAGCCTGCTGACCTGACTCTGGAACACTGGATTGCAAGTTGGGAGAAGCAACAAATTGGATTTCATCTCAATGAAGTCCATGAGTGAGTGCTACATTCATATTTCATTGCAAGTCTTAAACAGTCTTGTGGTTCAGTCACCTTACAGTATTAAACTGTGTCCATCAAGTCTCCTTCAGCAATGAAAGACCATTGGAGCTGTCCCTTTCTATTACGTTAACCAAATAAACCCTCTAGTAATCAAATCATTCACCATCAGGTACAAACACATACAAAAGCAGAGTGAAACAATAATGCTGTGACACAAAACTTTTCAATACAACACAAATACTTTTGAAAAATTTCAGAACAATGCTAATTAGATTAAGTGGTTGCTTACTGGAGGGTATTTTCAACAGCCAGTTGTCCACTTCTCATGCTTAAAATATGCAGTTGGCCAACGAACAGGCAGTGGTGAGAATTCAGGAACATCCCATCCACTTCTTGATTACACAAGTTTCCTTCCCCACCCCAGCAGTGACCTGCCAGCCTGCATCACACAAGAGCCAACTAATTTCCCACTGACCCATAACCAGCAAGCTATTGTTTGATGGTCGCAGATCACACACAATAGTTAAACGAGGCCCATGTTTGGAAATGGTTCAGACCGTCTGCAGCCAATATGAAACTTCAACAAAGCAGAGATAGTAGGAACTGCAGATGCTGGAGAATCTGAGATAACAAGCTGTAGAGCTGGATGAACACAGCAGGCCAAGCAGCATCAGAGGAGCAGGAAAGTGCAGGTTTTGGGCCTGGACCCTTCTTCAGAAATGGGGGAGGGAAAGGGGATTCTGAAGTAAATAGGGAGAGAGGGGGAGGTGGATAGAAGATGGATAAAGGAGAAGATAGGTGGAGAGGAGACAGACAGGTCAAAGAGGCGGGGTGGAGCCAGTAAAGGTGAATGTAGGTGTGGAGTTAGGGAGGGGATAGGTCAGTCCAGGGAGGACGGACAGGTCAAGGGAGCGGGATGAGGTTAGTAGGTAGGAGATGAGGGTAGGGCTTGAGGTGGGAGGAGGGGATGGGTGGGCGGAAGGACAGGTTAGGGAGGTGGGGACAAGCTGGGCTGGTTTTGGGATGCGGTAGGGGGAGGGGAGATTTTGAAGCTTGTGAAGTCCACATTGATACCATTGGGCTGCAGGGTTCCCAAGCGAAATATGAAGTGCTGTTCCTGCAACCTTCGGATGGCATCATTGTGGCACTGCAGGAGGCCCAGGATGGACATGTCGTCTAAGGAATGGGAGGGGGAGTTGAAATGGTTCGCGACTAGAAGGTGCAGTTGTTTGTTGCGAACCGAGCGTAGGTGTTCCACAAAGCGGTCCCCAAGCCTCCGCTTGGTTTCCCCGATGTAGGGGAGGCCACATCTGGAACAGTGAATATAGTATACCACATTAGCAGATGTGCAGGTGAACATCTGCTTGATGTGGAAAGTCTTCTTAGGGCCTGGGATGGGTGTGAGGGGGGAGGTGTAGGGGCAGGTGTAGCACTTCCTGTGGTTGCAGGGAAAAGTGCCGCGTGTGGTGGGGCTAGAGGGGAGTGTGGAGCGGACATGGGAGTCACGGAGAGAGTGGTCCCTCCAGAAAGCAGATAAGGGTGGGGAAGGAAAAACGTCTTTGGTGGTGGGGTCGGATTGCAGATGGCGGAAGTGTCGGAGGATGATGCGTTGGATCCGGAGGTTGGTGGGGTGGTACGTGAGGACGAGGGGGATTCGTTTTGGTTGTTATTTGGTTGTTCAACAAAGCAGTGTGTATTACCGATTTCTCATTGGCACAGCCATTCTGGGTCTATGGGCACCAGATGTTTTTATCTCTAAAACACATTCAAAACACTGAGGACAAGCCCACCCCCCAACACACACACTTCCCTCTCCCCCCGCCACCGAACACAATTTAAAAATCTCACTTTTAGAATACTTGCTGATTGATTTCTACTTGCTGAGTTTATAGAATTATTTAATGGCATGTTTAAAGTTGAAGACTGTAGGGATGCCCCGAAGAACTTGGTCCTGACTGCAAAGATTCTACAGAAAATACCTGCTCCCAGACACGGATATAATAGTTTGTATCCCCTTTTTGAGGAACTTGGGCACAGGCAACACAGGCAGGGAATTGGGGTGTTTGAACAACACTTCTGCTGCCTGGACTGTTCTGGAGGAACTCTGGAGCTCGAGGCAGAATGTTGGACAAGGTTCTGCATGGTCTGCTGTAAAATCTTGTCATCATGAAGGGATAGTCTTTGCCACTAACCATAAAGTTATCATCTGAGAAGATGCAGGAGGCAACCAATACATCACCTTTGTGGCAAGGTTGTTGGTAATTGACTGATACACTGTACAAGTGATTAAAACCACAATTCCTGACCTGCTAACGGTCTCATACCTCATCTGTTAGTATATCATTTGTTACTAACCATCGCAGCATCCTCTTGACCACAATACTAAAATAAAAGCCACAATAAAAATTCTCAATGATATTAATAAATTGAACTATCAATGATTGCATACAAAAGTCAAGCAATCATCTTTGATATTTGTTTTCTGTGTTGCCTTTGCCTGCTGTGATCTTTCTATGCAGTGCTCTGCCAGGGACTGCAGCATAGTTGGGGAAGACCTCAGATGGCCTTACAAGAGAATCTTGATCAGCTCAGCATGACCAGCTATGGTCTGAGCTGAGAAGCTGATAGGAAACAGCAGCGGCACTGGCAAAATGATGGTATTAGGAAGAAGATTGCTGTCAGTCTTACAAAGGCCCGTGGTCCTTGGTGCTGCACTAAGCTATTGCCACTCTCCTGATACATCACCTCAACAAACCTAGTAATGTTTTGGAGGATAAAATGCTGGATTACCTTGATAACCTGCACACCTCTTTGAACACTTCAGACAACAGCAGACTGAGCTTGTGAGGTAGCAAGTAAACCTAGTTTGGCTTCTGCCTGAGATTTCACTGAAGCATCCTGAATTTGAGAAGCTTTTGTCCTTCTTGCAATTAAAGCTAAGACATTAGCTATCAGGTGCTGCATCATGGTTGGGCCACAGCGTTCTTATGGAATTGGGAAAGGGCTCCAAACTCCGATGAAAGCTGTGTGTTATTTTAATGCTGGAATCCTCCATGCTCCTGACACTGATCACAGGTTTCTGACAGGCATGACAGTACATCAAGTATTTCAATATGCAATCAGTGCCCTTCTATTAACCACCCCATCAGAGTCATCTTCTGGATCCTGTGTGTGACCTTGCCCTTCTAGCAAGCTGACCCCTGTGAACATAAGAACTAGGAGCAGGAGTGGCCAATTCAACCCCTAAAGACTGCTCCACCAATCATAGCTGATCTCATCTCGGTCTCAACTCCACACTCCTTCCCGTCCCTAATAACCCTTCAACCCGTTACTAATTAAAAATCTGTCTATCTCTTTAAATTTACTCAATTTACCAGCACCCACTACAATTCTACACTTCACTTGTTTTCTGTCCTGGCTCCATTTTGCTTGTCCTTGATGTCTTAACACATCCAGATTCTGCTTCTAAGCTTCCCTATAAAGTGTGCATAATGCTAGTATCTGAGCTTCTGGCTGTAAGTGTGAAAATGAGTAATGGTGTTGCCTCTTCTTCTCTGGCTGTTCTTTTGCCTCTCTCTTCTGCCATTGCCTGGCCACATGGCTGTTCTTGATGGTTTTAAAGGAGAAAGGCAGAGGGACAAGATTGCAGTGAAGGTGTGGGACAGTAAAATGTATGCCTAAACCATCTGCAGTTTATAAATCCAAGGGATTGTCAGATGGGGGGTAGTTAGTAGATTGTGAGAAAGAGGATTAGGTATGATCGTACCAACATTTTCAACCCTTTCAACCTGGAAGAAACATGTAAAGTTGGAAATATGTTGTCTGAGTAATATAGAAAACCTTAGGATACACTTCAGTTCCACAACACTATTAATTAAGAAATTATTTGACGACTGTTGAACAACCTTCAATTTTAATTGTTTTGTATAATTGAATAATAATTGTCTTCAAATGCTCTTTATCTGCAGAATGTTGAAGAAACACCTGAATGTTATGCTAAATGGGAGAAAGCAAATCCGTATCTTCTTCCCACTTTGTGGGAAGGCAGTGGATATGAAATGGTGAGCAAATGACCAACACGTTTTAAACATTTGAATGTTTGATGATGTGGTGCGGGGTGGACGGGGGGGTGGGGGAGCGGGGAAACACTTCTTCATTCCATTAACATTTCGTTATTCAAACATTCTTAACATTTGGAAATGCAGTCTTAGCTATTGCAACTCTTTCCCGTGGGTTAAACTTGTCAGCACCATTTATGGTTTTGACTGAAATTTGTAATTTGATGCTTACAGACATTAAACTAATTTTTTTCAAAAATAGGAACTTAGGAACTGGAGTAGGCCATACAGCCCCTCCAGCCTATTCTGCCACTCAATGAGATCATGGCTGATCTATGTCCATACTCCATGTACCTGTCTTTGGCCTATATCCCTTAACACCCTTGCTAAGATTTAAAATTAATAACTGGTTCAGCATCCACTGCTGTTTGTAGAAGAGAATTCCAAACATCTACCACACTTTGTGTGTAGAAGTGCTTCCTAACATCTCTCCTGAACGGCCTGGTGTTAATTCTCAGATTATGCCTCTTAATTCTGGAAACCCAACCAGTCACAATGACGCCACCCACAAACTGGAGGAGCAACACCTTATATTTCGCCTCGGGAGCCTACAGCCCGATGGCCTAAACATGGAATTCACCAGTTTTAAAATCTCCCCACCCCCAGCCTCCTCCCATGACCAGCCCTCCCTCTCATCCCTGCCTCCTTGACCTGACACAACCTGTCCATCTTCTCTCCCACCTATCCACCCCTCCCACGTCACTGATCAATCCCCACCACTCCCTACCTGCACTCACCTATCACCATCCCACCTACCTACCCAAGCCCCATCCCTCCTCTCTATTTATTTCTGAGCTCCCATCCCCTCCCTATTTCTGAAGAAGGGTCCAGACCCAAAATGTTAGCTTTCCTGTTCCTCTGATGCTGCCTGGCCTGCTGTGTTCCTCCAACTCCACACTTTGTTACCACAGACGACAATGGTATGTTTCTCTAAACTTAAAAAATGTGTTCTAAAATTGAAGTTATTTTAAAAATTGTCATTATATTTACTTACAACAAATTAATATCTGATTAAGCTTGATGTCCTCATTCTTATCTTAAAATCTTTTGATGTTCTTTTTCCAGACTTCTTTCCCCTCCCATGCTCTTCATCAATACAGCTCTGGGAAACGAGTTCCCCAGACCTCTGTTCATGTCACAGTTCTATGACTCACCATTTTGTTTCTCTTACTATTCCATTCTAACTCAAGGGAATTACTTTTGAAAGCTTGTTAAATTCAAGTTGTTAATGATGATGGCTGCTAAACCTTCATGGAATGCTCAACTGGAACTTCTGCCTCTAGCACAGAATGTTCTTTCATCTGTAGCTGCTCACAACAGCTGATGTCACAAGTTTAAACTACTATTTTTGATTAAAATCAGTGGAGGGTGAGCTCGCTCAGTTGGCTGGATGGTTTGTTTGTAATACTGAGCGATGCCAACAATTGGGTTCAATTACCTCACCAGCTGAGATTACCATGAAGGACCTCTCCCTGTCTCAACATTTCGCTTGAGGTGTGGTGACCCTCAGGTTAAATCACCATCAGTTGTGTCTCTGTCATGAGAGAGTAGGACTATAGTACTTTACCCTTTATTCAGTGAGCATATCTTGAACTTTTGAAACTCCTTTTGAGAACTTCATTCACTAGGCACAAAGTTATTGTGTTTGTGAGCTTTTGAAGTGGATTTTCATCTTCACTGCCTGAGTAGTAATCTGACTGAGTAAACTGTCTGTCCTCATTCAACTTGGTTGTTTGTGATCTCACACTGATTTCAATATATGCTCATGGTCAGTGCAGTGCTGTGGACTGTGTTGACTCCGGTTTAGATATTGAGATTTATGTGATATTAGGACAACTTTCAAGCAGCCAAAATTGATTCTTTTAATTGAGTTACTGTGAAACATGTGATTCAATCAAAAATAAAGGCTGCATCACAGTTATTTTATTGCTGCATTGATAAAGCATAAAAATACAACTGAGAAACTTTTTGAGATGAGTGTTTCAAATTTTGCATTGATATGTATGTTTTGAACAATGAACTCCTGAGTTCTAAGATTCTCTTGCCTATGGAAGATAACAGAGCCTCTTCATTTGATCTCTTGTCTGCAGGCTTGCTGATCAGGGGCACACTATTGTTGGGGTAGAAATATCTGAAATTGCAATAAAGCAATTTTTTACAGAACAGAATCTGTCCTACGTTCAAGAACCTGTACCAGGGATACCAGATGCAGAAATATTTAAGGTAGGGTAATGATAGCTGTTCATCAACAATTTATGTTCTTATGGTTTTAGACTGAAATTTAATAATACAGTATGACTAGAAATTTACTTGATACATTATTGTGGACAAGCTATTTTGCCTGTGGATTAATTCTAAATAATAGGGCTGCTACCAAACAGCATTCCCTGAATTAATGTTTTCTAGACTCTGCCAATTCAAACAACCATAAGTAGTTGGCCTTCCAGTTTCTTAAGGGATCACAAGAATTGGCCTGTGACAGCGGAAGTGCTGAAGCTTTCCAATGCCCTTGGCATACTAGGAGTACAGTACCCCCACTCCCCCCCCCCCCCAGCTACTCCAGCCCCCTCCCCTATTTCCCTGTTCAATCCTTTCTTTGCTTTGAACCCAGTAACCACCCCTTCCCTGCATTTGATGTGCCACCATGCCACCACTCACCCCATTCCCCTGCTCCGGACCCACTCCTACATTCCCCCATTTCACCCTTCCCTTGCACCCGACCTGCTGCCATTACTCCCCTCCCCCATTCTGGACCTGATTCCCACTGACCCCCACCCAAGGACCTAACACCCACCCTCCCCTGCCAGACCCAATATCCCCCATCCACTCTAAACTCTGTACCACTGTACATTTCTGAAAGAGTCCTGATTGGAATCTCCTGTCAGACATGTAGAATTTTCATTTAATCAATAAGAAGGGGCAGAGAGACAAACCGGCCAGTCTTCACTCTAAGGGAAGTCAGAGCAGGAGCAAGAATCAGCAAAGGTGGAACATGCCATTAATTGCTTTATATGGCTTATTTTCAGA